AGAGCGAAACCACTTTTAAGTACTGTGAAACAAAATGAACCAAATATAACCACAAATGCAACGTTTACTCAGATTGGCTCTAATTATGGTACTCTTACCTACAACAACTCTAACACAACAGATGAAATATCTGCTCACAGAAACATCATTATTATGTTGATTATACTTATAATCAGAGTACAGTCAACATTAGGAGAGCCCACACACACACTGTAGTCATCTGGGAAGTGACTGTAAGACTGGTATATTTTCAAAACTAAAGCAAGATCAAATCTGCATCTTGAAAAGTTTGCCAACAATTACAGCAGTGTAAGGAAAAGAATGCCTGTGGTGTAAATCTAAATAATGGGTTATAGAAACATCTTCCCGTATATAATGAAACTGCAGAGTTGCCCTCTTCCCATACACCTTAATCCCCACCAAATACTCTCCGCAATCATCCTGGTTTCTAACTACATAACAAGTGCTGGGGTTTAGTGGTTTTAGCTTTTTTTTTTTTTTTCATTTTTTTAACTTAAACCTAAAATGAGAATTACAATTAGAATATTCACAGATTTTCACAGAAGCTTTTCTACATAAATAGCCTCTCCATAGCCTATCTTGTTACATACATTTTTTCTACTGTTCCTTCACTAATAACTGCTACATCAGCAGTCCTAGAAAGCAAGTTAGTTTTTTTATCCACCTTTGCCTTAGTTCCAAAAGTAGAAACGTAAGTTTTTAAATTGTAAGGTATCAATTAGCTGTTCCAGTGCTCAGAATTGTGTCCAAAGAGCCCCAGGGTGTTCAGGCTTCCAACAAACACCAACGACCTGTACTGCAGGTGTGAGCAGTGCTGTGTTGTGACACAGGTAGAGTGCAGTGACAATTTATACTAAGATAAGAAAAGTTTGGCATTTACGTCAAGTGTATTTAGAAAAGAAATATCTTTTGTGAAATAAGTGATTCCTGTGTTTGCACATGCCTGTTATAATTACCTAAGTAAACTGCTATTTCGATTAATATTAATTTGAACAAACAACTGCAGTAACTACTTTGTGTAATATAATATTAATTCACAAATTCTAAAGCCATTTCAAAAGCCTAAATTTTAAAAGGTCTTCTCATGATGGAAATTCTTTTGGAAGGATTCCTTGGACTTTAAATTTAAAGTCAATTCTTTATCCACAGAAGGTAATTTAGCTGTTCAAAACTAAAGAATGATGAAAGAATTACATAGCCATTCTGACACAGAGATTTAATTTACAAAATGTTTCATGCTCCTTAAAAAGGAACACGGTTACTTACCCCATCAAGATCTTTTTTTTAAAATGCTTGAATTTTCTACTTTTCAAATATGTATGTAACTTTACACGTTTGACAGTGTTTCCCTTTACCTGAGGAAATTATTTGATAAACTAGAACAGTATTGAATAGCAACTTACAAGCCACAGATGCCAACATTCAATTTTGAAAAAGGAGGATGGTAAGCAGAAATGTATTCTTAGAAATCTCTGTTCTTCCATATGCATAAACATGAGCAAACCTCGTGTACTTGTGCACACGTGTATTGGCAGCAGGGTAATGCACACAGGCAATATTAGAATCTGGGGTTTAAAAATCATACCCTTCATTTTCACATCAAAACCTCAAACCTACAGATAAGCTGGTTACATTCTCTGGGTGGCTATTTAGTGACATCTTTGTGAATACTCTGCACCATATACCACCCTTACAGTCCTGACTCTGCTAAGAAAACCTTTATTGTGGTACATATGGGTGCACCCAGATGACCATACAATGAACATTAAAACACCATCACTGGTGATTCTAATTGCATCTACCACTTATGTGGTTCCTGTTTCTATTCAGCTTTCTTTCCAAACACCATTCTCATTGTTAAATGGTCAGAATACACAAAGCGACAGATTTAGTGCCTCCTTGGCAATTTATATAACTGACTGCAACTCTGTTGTTGCAGTGAATCATGATTTATTTGTCTCACAATGCAGCACATAACCTTTTAAATGCTAGGGAAAAAAATGCCAGTGCCTCTTTAAAGTTTATATATGACTGCCCACCACCATTCCTCATGAACGAGGTTTTGAGAGACAAATGATAAAAACAAGCTGCAAATTCCACCCACCTACTCCTGGCCATTTCCTGTGTTCATCACTCACACGTACTGTATTTACAGACAACCAGACCACCAGTGCATTCTTTTAGTGCCCTCGTTTCCTCCTGGGCTGGAATATTTTTCTCAAATTAGTGATAGGTATTCTCTGCTAAACACAAAGAAGGATAATGCCAATCTCCCTTTCACTGCTGCCACGTTCAATCACATCAGGTGACATTACAGGCAGGCTGTAGGGTTTTATTTATTGTCATCTCTCTCCACACCAAAGTCGCAATCCCAAGGCCTGTGGCCTTTTTACATACCCTATTCTCCATGCCTTCTTCTGTACTTATTTCCATCACCTTCAAAAAACTGTTTAATGTAACACACACATGCCATTCTCCTCATCCAAATACACTGTTTTATCCTGATATTTTATACTGTGCCCACCTTCCTGGTAAATGAACATGTAATGACTCTCTGCTGTCCACCAGTGCCCAAACTAAGCCAGTCAAAAGCCTTCAGCACCTTTAATTATGAAAGTGATAATGAGAGAGAAAAGACTGTTTACTTTAAATGGAACAGCAGTAGCTCCAATTAATGCAAATAGGACCTACTCACTGCAAAACTATTTACCCAACATGTACAGCAAAAAGTATTTGGATAGTTCTGAGTACATTATAATTCAATTTTAAAAATTTAGGAGGGAGAACTCGGACCGCAGACAAAGATGGTTTTCCCTCATGTGGTGACTGGCATTGGCAGTCCACGCAGTAGGTTCCAACCCTCTCATACCACCTGTCATTGGCAGACTTTAAAACTGACTGCAAAGGTGTGTGTGCTTCTCTAAATTGCCTTCACTTGCAGAAGGGAAAACAGGGCTGCAGAGATGAAGTGACTTTTTAACCATTCAGAGATTCACACTTGCCTGTGGCCTACTCCTACTTGAGCTCAAACAACCCTTCCAAAGCTACCCTGGCGTTCCATTCCCTAGATGTGTGCCTAGATGTTTAATAAACAAGAACATTACTTTTCACAGTAAATATGCCTGCAAGTTGCACAAGTTACAACTCTAGACTTCAGTGTAATGTTCTTCGGAAATATACTTCGAAATCTATTTTAAACATTTGAGATAGTTCTAGCATTATGCACAGCATAGCCTGTGATAGAAATTATGCCAACTGATGACAAATGAAGGTATTGAGCAAGGCCATAAATTTAATAAATTAATAAATGAAAAGTAAAATTTATAGAATATCTTTTGAGTAGTAAAGACCAGAGGTAACAAAGGACTTAGATGTGTCAATGCACCTCAGCTTGATCAGCTGGGGCAAAACTACAAGTCCTTTTTCTACCAGACTGTGATACTGTTCTATAATGCAAACAAATGCTAAATAAATGGAAAAACACTTCCCCTGGCCGAGTTTTGCAGGTCAGTGCAAAATAAACATTGAGAACTTTCTTTCAAACATTTCCATTTGGGTTGGATTTTGATAGTAAAACCATTTAACAGGGATTTGCTGTTAAGCTTGTAAGGCAGTTGCATGTTTAGAATATTTAATTAGCCAAAGAAGGTGGTTAGACTCAGTGCAGCATTTAACGTTCACCTTCTGAAAAAAACACAAAGGCTGTAATTTAGGAAGCTACAGAAAAGTACATTTACAGATACTACATGCGTCTGAAATGTTACTGCTGTTGAAAGAGACTTTATAAATGAATATTACTTACACAAAAAGCTAAAGAAAGTATACCTGTGTCAAGAAATAAACATCTGAAATGAAGGAAAAGAGAACAAATTTCATCCACCAGGGGTGAGGGGGAAAGGCAAAAAACCCCATAGTGGGTAAATAAATAAGAGTCAAAACAAACATCTTCCCCTGCCTCACAGAAGAAAAGTAGACACAAAAAGTATAGGTTGCAGACTGTCACATTTAAGCACATAGCTGCCACATTCTCCAATGGGTCAATGCAAGTTCTTATGACAACAAATAATTTTACCTTATTACCCTAACTTTAGTCACTATCCTTCTGAGTTTTGGGAACTATTATTTGGAAGGTGCCAGTAGAAACAAAGCAGCTTCACCATGTAACAGTCCACAATAAAAAAAACCAAGGAACAGACCCTGTGTAACAGCTGTTTCAAACACAGGTAGTTGATGGAGCTACATTATTCCCAATGAAAACATTTTTAAATATTTAAAGATCTGAAACCAAATTTTGGCTTGGGGTAAACAGGGACAATGCCCCTCACACAAAATGGAATACTTCAATGCAAATTCAGCAAAATCAGTACTTGAGTTTCAAAGAAAAACTCCAATTTATAGGTTAAAACGAGCCACCTATAACTGTATTTAAATGGCCAATATCACAAATTCAAAGTATATCAACCTGTTCCACTGCTTTAAGTGAAAGAGCTATCAATTCACTAAGAAAAGTAGGTTACTGAAAAACAAAAAATTCCTCTAATTTACCTATATTTCACTCTAGTTGATCAAACTCCCATTTTTAAAGGAACACTCACTAAAAAGTCACTTATGCTGCTGTGCTTTATGCTTAATATAATTCTGGCTAATCTAAATAGTGTTCTCAAAACCCAGTCGGAGACAAGAATTGTTTTGCAGACCCAATATTTATGATACATTATATAAAGCAGATGCTATAAACAAATTGGCAGTCAGGTGTATTAATATACAGGAAAAATGTAACATGTAAAAAAGTAATAAAACCAAACACTAATCATCTTCCGGCTCCTCCTGTACATCCAGTAGGAGTCAAAAAGTGGGTATTTCTCAAGGAAAAGTAAATATTAGTTTATATAATGACTTAAGCATAATAATTTCAGAGGAAATACAGTGCATCATCGTTGTTATTAGAAAAATAAATAAATGATCATCCATAATCTTACCCAGTTCTGGGGGCAGCACAGTAAGACGGTTTCCCTGGATATGCAGTTCCTTAAGCTGGGTGAGCTCACCAATTTCTTTAGGCAGTGATATCAGGTCATTGTCTCTAAGACTCAGCTAAGAACAAAAATATATTCAGTCAGAGCAATTTTCGGTTACCATAAAGCAGCTCAAAAGAGAACTCTACTCCCTGTTCCCCCACCATTCTCCTAAATGCTCAATTCTTCCAATTTATTTACAAGTGTCTTCTGGTAAACAAGAAATAGTTCCAGGTGTAGTGGTCTATTGCTGTAAACATAGCCTACCACTCTTCAAATTGACTGGATTCTATTCCTACAAGTGTTGCAAAAGTGAATTGATTTTCCAAGAATTTAGATAAATTACTTACTATCTGCAACTTTGTGAGCTTCCCAATATCTGGCGGCAGGATTTCAAAATCGTTGTCACTTAGATAGAGTGCACGCAGGGTGGCTGCAAATTAAATAGCAATATATAAACAGGGTGGCATATAACCCAACCATTTGAGGTCTAATCAATAAAAAGGAGTCAGGTTTGATTAATAACCCTGACTTGGTGGAAAGCCTTTGACATACCCAGGGCTCACAATAATAACAAGCAGGTCAAACTTAGATTTACTGGCTTATTGTATTGTTGATGAGTTCAAGAAAACACCTATATTCAAAAGGACTAGCACAATTAACAATTTCTGCAATAGTAATCTCTGGTAGATTCTGGCAAATGGTATGAATGCTCAGATGTCAGAATACAGTCATTACTCTTTATTACCCCCGATTCTTATTTATTACATCAATTTGTATCCAAAACAAACATTTTAAAAAAAAAATCTGAGTTTTTTGGACAAATACACATCTATGTTAAGCTCTACAGAAAGCATAACCTAACACTGGCAAAGAGATCTGAAATTAGAGCAATATAGAAAACTCAAACTGTGTAATTTGTAATTTCCATGCAAAGTCTCTATGAAATTCACAAAAAAAAAAAGATGACCCAGCACAATCACGTAGCTTGCTATTATTGAATTAGCATACATGACAGTCTGAAAAACAAATTAAAATGGAGACTCACAAAGAACTATCAGGTGCAGCAGGAAAGAAGGTGGTCAGATCAGCAAAACCTCTCCTCCCCACCAGAGGAGATCCCATTTGTCTTACTCCTCCTCTTTTCATTTCAATAAATGTGACTATTTTTAATAATGCTGACTTAAAATTCTCCTCTGCCAGGTTACAATCACAACATCCCTCAGACAGTGGCACTCCTTCCTCTCCCCTCGCCTGTCACTTTGATGCTGAATGCACTGAACCTGAAGCCACTTCAGCAGAGTACATGGAAAAGATCGGTAAGGTAGCAGAACCACTGAAATCCAGAAAGTGCCAGAATTCAAGTTGCTTAGGCAACCATTTTGCACATATGCATCACAATACCTTTCTTTTAACTTGAGTATATATTTTTAACATATGCAAAGGTCAGCTTAGGTCTACCATTCCTCTGCCAAGCTTTGTAACCCTAGTGTATGTTTTAACATACTGGACACTTCAACATCGACACGCTGATAAAACTATTTCAGTAACGAACCGTCAGGAACACATTTGTTTTCAGACTCAACACACAACAGTTGTGCTGCAAAACTGTTTATTTTCCCCTGAGGCTTGCAACCCTCCATGAAGTTTTAACTGAGTATGGGACACAAGGAAATATTACTCAGAAGAACTAAGCAAGTCTTCTCATGTCCAAAGGTGTCAGGTGACTGTATATCAGTGATAAATATTGCTGTGCTATGTAGAAGTATTCAAGATATATTAAAAGAAAAACATAAATATCAGAAAAAATTCTGCTGGATTTTGGTCTCCACCAAATAAATTTCAACTGCAGAAAGCAAAGCACCATATCATGAAGATTTGCAAGGTTTATAGAAAAGTTTCTTACTTAGATAGAAGAAGTTTCCTGGTAGGGAATTTTCATTTAAGTTGTTGTAAGTCAAGTCAAGAACTTCTAGAGCTGGTAAAGATCCAAAACCCCTTGGCAAGGTGTTTAGCCTGTTCATGCTGCAGGTAAAGAGGAAAGGAAAAGAACATGACATCAGCATTCACTTCATTTAGTAGGAACAATACAGGTCACAAGACTAGTTTTTTTTCCCATAAAAAATTTAATCTACGTCAAGATTTCCTTTTGTTTTGAAAAGGGGTTGATGTTTCGAGATACTGAGAAACCCTCTTGACATGTGGATCTTTTTTTACTCTTTCACTCCAATAAATATATCCAAACTTAAGCACTCACAAGGGATTCTGTTTGTTATGTCAACCAGCAGCCACATCTGAAACATACAGCACAAGGGAGAGACGTATCACAGTGCCATGCTCAGCTTACAAGTGTTCCACAGAAAAAGCTGGTTCTTGTAGATGACTAGCTAAACTACAAACTACCCTTTTGCACATCATCTTGACCATGTGCCATTCTGCCATATACCACATAGTTCTTCACCATGGCACCAAATACAAAGAGGAATACCTCAACTGCACAGTGTGTTCACTGATAACTGCTGCTCAAACCTCTTCTTAAGAACAGCAAATCTGTGTCACTAGACACATGGAGCATGAAGTAAATAAAATGTCAGTCCTGTGATTGATAAGGCTTAATCTAAATATAGCTCAATCAGCCAGTCTTAAGAGGGTTTAGGATAGCAGTTCCCACTGGCAACAGCCATAACATAAGGAAAACTAAGAGAAGGAAGGGATTTCTCCGATAACCTGGAGCAGACAAGGCACAGAAAACAGTAACTTCTCTCTGACCTCAAAGAGCTTGAATAGGGTGATCCAGAGAGCTGCTGCAATAATGAAGGCAGGCACAGAGCTGGAGATCTCTTCACAGAACCTTACTGTTTGTGTATGAACTAGAGCTCTGGCTGTTTATCATATGAACAGAAAAGAACCACCTGGCAGTTTCGTACTCATACTGTTCCTATTGCATGTACACCAAATATACACCTTGTGTGTATGGATCTTGCTTTAGCTGTCACCCGGGTTTGAAAGTGGAACAGAGAAGGTAGGCATCTTCAGGAAGAGCCTGTACAGGTAGCCATTGTCAAAAACGGGATTTTATTGTTATGTGATGACTGGAAACAAAGATGACCTTTCAGATGTTATCTCTAAACATATTCTAAATTTTCTCTTTTTGATGCTAAAGTGATAAAGAACAACAGTCACAACTGAAGTCAAGAGAAGATGATATATGAATGTATGAAGCATGATCTAACATTTAAAACTATAAAAACTCCAGTAAACGTACTAACAAATTTGGGTACCCCAAAATAAGAAAAACTACACATCCATGGTAGCAAAGGCAGGAGAAGCACATACACCATTTCTTTCACAAACTCTCGTCTTTCCTGTCCCACTTTTGCATAAGCCAGTGCCACCAGAACAAGAACCTGCAGAGATCAGCTCTCTGTAGCTAAACTCCAGATGAACTCCTTCTTCCTCCTCATCTCCCATAAGGAGTCCTGTCATGGGCATACACCTACTATTGCTGCGTAGTAGTAATTATTAAAATACAGAAAGCTCCTCTCCACTATTGCTACTGCAGACTTGTCACTGTTTCAAAAACTGTTCTTTCCAGCAAACAGGACTAAAGCAGATCGTTTTTCACTAGTGGCCCTGACTGCCTTCCCTTTTTTAACCAAAGAACAGGGTGAGAACGAATATTCTCCCTATTGACAACAGGCAGAATGGTATCTATCCTTTGGCATGCAAAGCGAACCAGCTCAAAGACCCTGCCCAGCACTATTTGGCCCTGTACAAGTTCAAACACTGAGCTCGTGCCTCAGAAACTGTTCCTCACCTGTCCTCCAAATTTTACACTTTTAAGCTTTCAGTGCAGCAGTACATCTTTCCTCTTTCCACTCCACCACTTGACCTTTCTGCAACAAAACTCTCCCAAAAATAATCTCTGCTCTTATTCAAGCTTCCTCTCTCCCCTGGAGGACTGTTCTGAAGCCTTCTAACACAGGCACTGCAGATGACAAAAGGGTTTCTTGGTTGCCTCCTGAAAAACTAGTAGGTCAGAAGAGTTTCCTCTTCACTGACTCCAAGGACCTGCAAAGCAGAACCCATTTTGCAGAGCTAAGGCTAGGTAGTAAATCCTGTACCTGGAAGATTATGGGTAAGGACAGGATTAAGAAGGAAGAGCATTTAATCTGTAAAACCTTAGGCCACATGACACATGAGGGTGGCAACTGTGGTTCCAGACCCAAATGTCTGTTGGCCCTAACATCAAGCAGTCTTTTGCACTACGTTTCTTTTTTCATTAATGAAGACTAGTATTTGAACTATACTAATAATTTTCACTGCTTTAATCCATGGGAAGTGCCCAACTTCTTCCTTCATGTACTGCAACACGTCTATAAATATGGATTTAACCCCCAAAATACATAGAATCGTGATTAATATTTGCTCTGAAAAGCAACTGCGGTTCAAACAGATATTAAGGAAAGCTAAAGATGTACTACGACCAAATAAAGACCAGGGAAGACAGATCATCATTAAAACATTTACTGGCATTCCAACAGATGCAATTCAATTACCAGCACTTTACAAAAGTATCTAAAAGCAGGATACACAGAGCCTAGTGAAAATCGGTATTCAGAAGAGTTAGAAGTGCTCAGTTTAAGGTGTTCAGAAGTTTGACTTTATAATATAAATACCAACATTCTTTCTATGAGAAGCCTGTAGTGCTAAAGCTTATGCTTACCAGTGTTTTCCTAAATAGTTACACTTTAATATGCCAATTTAATTTTAAGAAGGTCCTATGCTTTGTTTTCTTAATTCAAGAAAGTCCTCCACAACTGTAGTTATTATAAAGTATTACCAACTCTACTGGAATATATTATCTGAACACTTAACAGAAACACTCCTGGCTCAAACTCAGTCAATACTAGCTCTTTGAATTAAATGCATACCACACCTAAAGATTTGCTGCTTCTTTTACAGGTTTAATATAAATTGAAATGTCTATAATCCCAGATTTGGAACTTTGGAATTAAAGTTCTAGATTAATGTGGAATCTTTTTTTTTTAAAGTAGAACAGGAAATAAAGCCTGGTTTTTCTGCAGCAACTCCAGAAGCAAGAGGCAGTTGCTAGGGAAGTAAAATTCAATAGTTGTTCAGTTTGACCTCAGTATGTGATGAACATGAGTTGCTTTGCCCTTAAATGGTTATCAGTATACCAGAGTAAGTGCTTGATCACTTCTAAGTATCTGCTTATTCAGGACATTAGCTGAACACTCTGAAGTCGTAATTGCCGAGTTATCCTCACAAACACTTGCAATAAGAAACTTCAATAGCAAAAAGAAACTTCAATTGCAAAAAATAAGAAGTTCCAGGTTCAGTTGCAATGACTTTTAATTGCACCTCTATTACAGCAAATTTTTGCATTAAGATACGCACCCAAGGTTCAGATGTTTGAGCTTCTGAAGGCTGCTAATCTGTGTAGGCAGCTCCTCAATCTGGTTGTTGAAAAAGTTGAGCACTTCTATATTTCTCAGGTCTGCGATGTTTGCTGGCACAGCTGTGGGAAAGTTTTCACAGTGAGAGACTGCAATTAGAGCAAGCTACCTAGACTAGAGATGCTTTTCTAGCACCTGGCGTTTGCAGTGACTGCAGTACAAGGAGCATCTCATTGTTACTGCAATAAAAGCAAAATTTATATTCAAAAAGCCTCCTATCTGGAATTCAAAACTTCAAAAATTACTATCAGAATGGTAAGATATTTTGACTAACAAAGACCACTGCAGAGAGAGAGACAAGGACAACAAATGCTTTTATAGACTAACAAACAGGCACAGGCTGTCATCTCAGTTCATGCAGCGCACACAGGTCTCAAAAGAGCAGAGCCTAAGAGACTCAGATCATTTCATGATTTAAGTGGAAAAAAAATGAATGATACAAGTAGTTATACCAAGACAGAAGTTGTACTAAAGGTCTTAAGCAACAAACAAAATAAAACCTCATTTTTAGCAATTGTCCGTTCTGTTTACTGCTTAAATAATCTAGTATCCAAGTTTTTGGTCATTTAAGACACATCAAAACTTATAAAAAATTAAGTTTAGCCCTAAAAGAAGAACTGTTTAGCCAAGCCTATTTTCAGTTACCTCCCTTGAGTGATAGACTGATCAATACACACACATGGCTACAGTGGATTACCAACAGATCAATAGCTGGTTGTTATTATCTAGAAACATGAAATATAAGGCAGAAGCACAGTATGAATATGCCTGTGCTAATTAGGTTAAAAACCTATTCAGATTTGCATCTTTTCCTCCGTAAACTTAGTGAGATTAAAGCAGCCAGCTGAGGTGTAAAGGAGGTTGGCAAGTCACCTACACTGAAGCCTGCACCTGTGTTCAGTATTCACCTTGGTTCAGTCTCAACTTTGACTGCATTAGGAACCTGCAGAGTGCACATCTAAATAATTAGAAGGTTTTATGAGGCCATGATTTTCTTTTATTTGTTGGTATGAGGCAATCTCAGTCTTAAAATGGAGTCAATAATGTTTACAAAGCAGAACATTACAGTATGTCACATTTACTAGATTATAAGTCTGATTACATTGTGAACAATAATGGGATCCCTAAGGAAGACTCTAATTACATTACATAAATATTACTGTTGAGGGTCATATTCATTGCAGGAGGCTTTTAGCAGACTTTTTTTATAAAGTTATTAGGTAAATCTGAATATGTAAAAGACCTCCCTTTGCAGTATTTTCCAACAAGTCCATGCCTATCTGTCATTCAATGATAGTGAGAATTACGTGCCTTCAGAAAGTAAAGAGTAATGCACTACTACTGCTGTTTCAAATTATTCCCTAACAGAAGTTAACTGAGGATTTTAATTGACATAATTCAGCTGTTTCCAGTCTCAATATTTCACCAGAACAGTAATTACCAATATTAAAATGTTTTCATTTCAGAAATTAGACTTTATAATTTGACTTTGATGATATGCCATGGACAGGCAAACTATGTTTCTGCTCTTCTCAGATACTATGTTCATGAAGACTAGGAATCAGAAATACTAGCAAATACTAAGTTTTAGCCTAAACAATATAGAGACCAAACACATTTTGCCTGAAGTTACACAATTGAGGCAATTAATAAAAATTTTGTTATGAAGGTTTTGGCCTTTTTGACAGTGTAAGAGGTTACACTCTAAAAAAACCTGCAAATTGGCATCACGAGATGACCCACTGTGGTCCCTTCCAATCTGAACCATTCTGTGATTCTGTGACCCAGGTACTGAGCTACCTTGATCAAGCAACAGATTTAGTGGATATATTCTTTCAAATACCTGCCCAAACCAGCTTGTTTCCCCATTCTAGAATAAATTAATTCTTAAGTTTATCTCTCTCTTCTGCTTTAAGCTAAGAGACTGTGGAGAGATAAAGAATCATTTTGAGGAAGAAGGTGAACACTCCTCCTTATTTAAAAAAAAGCAAACAAACAAACAAAAACACAGCAAAAACAAACCCCACAAAACAAACCAAAAAAACCCATGAAACTACACAGAAAAAGATGACATGCAGACATCAAGGAGACAGGAAGAAAACAGCTTCCAGAGATTTGTTCATGAAGATTACATTTGCACTGAAGATCCCACCATCAAAGAAAACCCTAGTTTCAATGAGTCACTACACAGTTGAAGAATCTGGAATTCTACCCGATTATCTCACTTGCAAATATGAGGTAAAACTCAGCTACCACTGGCTAGTTTATTAGAGGTTTTCAATTTGGTTTTCTTTTGTCAGGGCACAGGTATGAGTAAGTGTCCCGAGGGAACAACAGGAGCTGTGCCCTTGCACAGCTTCTGATATATCTGTATAATTCCCCCAATACTATATTTTATGTTGTGAATCACACTTAGGATACTTTATATCATTATTTTCTCCAAGATATACTAAAAGCTGCATGGGTAAGCTATTCAGTAAAGGATTTGAATGAAATACTTCATGTCTCACTCTGTTAAATTAAAATGAAAAGCCCTAATCCACAATTGTACTTTTGGGTTTGGATGGAGGGCATAGAGCTAATTCGTGAGAAGGAGAAACAGAAAAGTAGGTCAAGACCAGGCTTTTGGTAGGGAAAAGAGAGGACTTTTTTTCTGTAACAGCTTATTTTGTGGTTCAACAATTCAGATTCGTTTGTAATATGAATGAATGCTCTCTTGTATTCAATGAAAATGAGAAGACTCAAAACTCCCGTACTGCTCTTGTAGCTGAACTGCATAGGTTCAATACCTTCAGGTCTAAAGATCAGTGGTGGTCAAGCAAGGTTGACTAGTCATATCATGTTCTCTGTTCTTTACACAACCCAACTCTGAACTTTACACAACCCAACTACCTTTCCGCTGTTATGTTGCAAAATTCTTCCCAGATATATAGCAGACTGCCAAATCCCCAGACATTCATGTTCTGGCAATACTGAATTCCACTCGAGTCACCTTCTCATGATGAGCTGTGAGAGTGAACTGTCAGCATCCTGGTTCCATTCACCCACATATTTACAGTACGATCCACAGTGTCTTAACAACTCTTCTAAGACCATCTGCTGCCCAGTGTCATTAACAACTCCCCCTCAGCAAATGCTAGTAAAATTTGGCAGCCCCATGCCTTTGTGTTCTCCTGTGAAGCTTCAGTCACATCATGCAGCCTCATTCATATTAAGTCGCACTTCACAAGACCAGGAGCAGCTTCCATCCCCCTGTTCAATATTGGAAATTGCACACGGTGATTCACTGTGACAGCTGTAGACTTCACCTTGATTTCAAGAGGTTGGCTGACAGTGAAAGACAGGGTCTACAGGCTGCTTACAAGGAATATGAGGACTTTGTTCATGTTTCAGGGAATTAGAACTGGCAACTTGTTATTCTTCAAAGCATTTATAGTCTTTTTTGCCCTGAAGTTAGAGGCAATTCTTTAGACACTAAAACATGTTCTCATCAGAGCAACCTTTCATTCAAGGTGAGACATTACATTTTATTTCTACATAACCAGTAGGTGTTCAAAAGTTACAAAATTATTTCCAAAACATAGATAAGGAGGACTAAATGCTACTATTTAATGCCTATATAACTCTGCATCTAGAGTATCCTGGATCTAGGCCTTAGTTCTCTTCCCACACTGAGAACCAGACACAATCAAGGTCTGATGTTGCCCTCTGTTGGAGAACAGATACTGGGTTAGAAGGACCTTTCATCCAAGACAACTACCCTGCAAAGCAACATACTAAGAACATTCAAATCAGAGACAACAGCTTGGATTTAAGTGTCTCAGATGTAACCCTTTCTCATAAAGCAGAAAGTCAAAAGGTTCTCATACTACTACCTAGAACTGACATCCAAATCCAGTTCCTTTTGTATACTCAACCTATGACAAAGGAGGAAGAAAACAGAAAATGGAAGATAAGAAAAGCAGATTTATTATTTTTTTATTTTCCTAACTCTGCCACTCCTTTGTCATTCAGTTAGGTCTTTGTGCAGCTGAAAATGCACAGGCTTCAGAAAGTCTTTATTTCTTAAAATAATCTCCAAGATTATTTCTCTTAAAGCATCTGTGAAGTCCTGGAAAACAACAAGGATCCTCGCTACTTTAAAAGTAAACGAACTCGGGTGTTTGCAAAATTAAGTCTCCATTTCCTTTTACTTGAAAGATGAAATCTAGTCTGGTGATTTTTTGTTTTTAGTAAGGACCAACATTACATTAAACATTTCTGAAGACACTCTTGGTAAAAGAGATCTATATCAAAACTTTCTTTACAATTTAAAAATAAAATATAAAACCTTTTAGATAAAGAAGCTCAAATGAAAAAAGTCACAAGAATCAATAAACTACCCAATTGGATAAGTGAAATGATTGAGTAAAAATGTTAGTCTCCATGAGATGAACACATGGTATGTAAACTTCTTTAACCATTTAACTTATGTTCAAAATAAACACTCTCCCACTGCTGGTTGGAAAAGGGTATCTGTAATACCTTATCATGCATAAAAATGTGCATGAGTAAGGCTGCAATCTCCTTAATAACTATGACCCAAATAGAAAACCTCCAATTGAATTCAATGATTTTTGAAACAGACATCAAGTGAAATAAGAATTTTAATTTTTAAAAATAAGATTAGTTCCTTTGGCATTCACATTCTTAAAAACTTCAGGCTGCACAAACCCTGGTTTTTTCAGAATGTTTCTTCTACTTAATGAAGTAATTTTGCAGTACCTAGGAACATGATGTTCAGTAGTACTCCAAACCTTTCCAGGTTCTAAGGGAATATTTATCCAGAAGAGCTATTTAAATAGCACTACTTGACAGAAAAGAGATTTATAAGACTATGCCAGTTTCTCATTAAATTGTTCCGCTTAAAAGCTGGTCAAGAGTCATACAGAGAAAAGAGAACTCAATACAGACCTTTGAGAGTCCTATCAGTGCACTGTGGATCTCAGGTAAGGTTTTCTTGCCAAGAGCAAAAACCCACTTTTTAAGCCTAAAGTAAAACCTGTGGGTTGTACAATACAAT